GACTCTTTGCAACCCCATGGACCTTGGAATTCTCCAGGCCAGAATGCTGGAATAGCCTTTCCCTATCTTCCCAACCCAGGGATCAAACCCAGGTCTCCCGAATTGCAAGTGGATTCTTTACCAGCTGAGACACAAGGGAACCCCAAGAATACTGGAGTGGGTAGCTATCCCTTCTCCAGAGAATCTTCCCAACTGAGGAATCAAACCGGGGTCTCCTGCACTGCAGGCAGATTCTTTACCAACTGAGCTATGAGGGAAGCAAAAGAATCTCAAAATTCTAACCCCTCAGATTTTATGAAAGTGTTAGTCACTCAGTCACATCCGACTGTTTTAGGGACCTGAGTCACTTCTTAATTTTAAATAATTAACATTGAATGATTCCATTTATAACACTCCAAAATAATTTTGCATAGTTCTTTTCTGTCACATTTCTTTTTTCCCTTTTCTGACTTTTTATCACCATGGCTGGGTAGAAATCCAAGGGTAGTTAAGTAGAACTAAACTTGAGTCAAAATTCAACTGAAACCCCATGAATAAGATTCTTTGGCTCCAAGCACCTGTCTGAGTTCTAGCCTGTATGTTTTAGATTTCCAAGAGAATTAGGTCACATATAGAAAACCAAGAAGTAAATACCATGAATCTGGGACATATGCTTCGCATTATACCTGCCATTTAAACATAGGTTAGCTTTTTTTTTTTTTTAATTTCAGATAAAAAATGTATTTATTCTAAAAGTGTTTAACCACTATTTCTAGCACTTATTGTTAGTAAGCTCTGTGTGAAGAGCCTAAAAGAGAGGAGATTGTTCTGATAAAGGGACTACATATCTTCAGAGTCTTAATTCAGCTTATAAGCAGAAGAAAACACACTTTCTTCCAGACTGACAGACATTGTCTGATCAGATTTCTAAAATGGGGCTTGTCCTGCTATATTTCATAGAGGTGTGTTGATAACAATGCAATCTGAACTTTGCTGATAGTTGCTGCAGGAAACGTTGAGGTTGAATAATATTTTCAATTTCAGGTCCAACTTTCAAATCCAGTAGCTGTTGTTCTTAAAGTAACCCAAAATGGAAAATTTCTTGAAGACAGGTTACTTTAGATGATGTAATAACCAGATTGCCAACTGATTACATTTTAAGGATGTTATTCTTTTCATGTGACAAGATTGCTCACATCTCCTTAGCAATTCAGCCTTCTTCATCCTCACTCATCCTTGACATCAGGCCTCTGGGGAAGGACATTATAAGACATTTTTGTGATATGAACTCAAGTCAAAGAAAGTAAATCAGTGTCAACTCACCATGGCCTAATGCTTTGGAAAAACCCAGTGATATCTCTCTTAACCACTTTTCTATGGAGTCTGGATCTAATGTTTCTTTCAATCAGATTTCTTTTGTACCTTTATCTTTTCATGTTTAAATTGATTTTGCATGTTGAATTTCCTTTAAGTAACAGATTGCTATTAGAACCATCGATGCCCAAAATGGCCAATTCCTTGTGTTGATCATACAGTTTCAAGTGATTTATTCTGTTATTTTCTGATGTTATTTTCACTTAGTGAGATCCTAGATTTCTTGGGATGTTCTATAGCCTGGGTCTCTGTGGTACTGCCTTCTACCATGTTTATGCATATGTGTCCATAGGTTTTTATGATGTTTATGCCTGAGCAATATGTTTTAGGTACCCTGTTAAAAGAGTATGCCTATGCTAGGCATGGGTTGTATTTCAATTGTACTCTGTCCTAGAAAGTATGATGAAGTTTGCAATATTTCCGTTACCACAATCACCTATCTTTTGAGGTTTTCTTCATGTTAAAATGGAAGAAGTTTCTCTGTTACTTTCAATAGAAATCCCTATATTTGTGCTCTGAAAACCAGTCTGTTCACCTTATCATGAATTTCATCTTTTTAGATATTCCTCTCCTTACAAATTGTCATTCTCTTCAGCAAAGACAGTACTTAATATTTCTTGTATCAGAAAAAAATTTGTTGAACCCTCTTCTCTGATGACATAAGACACAATTTTTTATTATCTTCATTTTAGGTAATGCTATTCAAGAAACTGTCACGACTCATGAGCTTCATGTATTTACATTCAATAGTTGTGAATCCACTGCAGTAAAACTTCCATCCTTTTGTATTTTATTGAAATTACTCTTTTCAAGTTAACCAGTGATGTCCATCCTGCCAAATCCAGTTCAGCCTTTGCATTTCTATTCAGCTTCTTAATAGAAGTGGACAGCTCATCTGTCCACGTAGAGCCCTCCTTTCCTGACTTCTGTGCATCTTTACTCTCCCAGTTTTCCTTCTCCCCAGGGCTGTTTTCCTTCCTCTGATACCTTCTATTCAAAGGCTGGACTCCTTTAGACTTAAAAGACTGGGAACTTTACTGCTCAGTCTTTCACTTCCTATTTTCCTAACAATTCTCTCCCAGATGAGATTGTTCCCATTACCTTACATTTAGACTGATTTAACTCAAGTTTATATTTCCTGCTTGTTCAAAAAGCATATTTGAACTCTACGATCATTTCTAATTGTCTAGTTTTTATTCCACATTTTTTTCTTGCATCTCAGACATAACATGTCAAAATCATTGATTTCTCCCACTCTTTTTTCCCAAAGGGAATTTTTTCCCCTAACTCTTCATCTGTCAGGAAGCATTTAACAAGAGGCTTCCCGTGTGCTGTTTTGAATCTGTCAGGAACCCTCAGGCCCTTATTAATTCCTGAATATTCAGGAATTAAGAGGAGAGGCATGCCTTTCCCAGAGCTGAGGAATCCAGGCATTTCTCATGGTACCCTCTTCCTTTTTATGAGCCATATGGTAAAAGGTGATTGTCTGCCACTCTCTCTCTTTGATAGGGATCATCTTATGTTTTGTAAGTCTGGAATTTTAATCTTCATCTTTGCTGAGAATAACTACAGTATATATGCCCACGCCATGTTGATTAAAACACCTTTGCTCCATCAGAGCTTGGGCCCCTGTGTCTTTCTTTCTATTCTTTCTTTATTTCCTCCCCTCTCTCTCTTTCAGGCTAATTCCTTGGAGCATGGAGGCCCACTGAGCTCACTTTCTTGCCCAGGCTTCTAAGGCCCTCTCGAGAAGGCGCGCTGTGCCTTCACCCACTCGAGAGGTCGCCCGGTGCCTACGTGCAGCAGCGTGAGCCCTGAGAGCAGGACTCTGTTGGCTTTCCGCGTGAACCAGGGATATCAGCCTGTTTCTCTCTCTTACTCTCCGGACCACCAGGTTCCGGTCCATTAAAGGACCAACATTTATCCAGCGCCATGAATGGGCTTATCAATTACATGCTGGGTCAAATACAAAGAAACAACAGAAAGATTGAGTCATTTGTAATTTCTTCTTTATACTGATACCACTCCAACAGAAAGCTTTATAGTTTGTAGCCAGCTTATAACACTATTTCATGTATTGTTCCATTTCCTTCTATTTTTTCACACTTGTCCATGATGACAAAATTTCTTTTCTGAATTTTGTTAAAATGTTCTACAGTCTGATTCAAAGTAACCACTATAATTTTTCCAGAATCTAAATAAATCTATTTCCTTTGTTTAGAATGTTTTCCCATTTCTTTCATTTAAAAAAAAATAAAGAAAAATTAAAGACAACGTTTATCATGTGCTACAGGGCTTGCTTGTCCTATGCCCTAGCCATCCACTTCATTCGTTCTGCCAGTTACATTAAAGCATCTATTTGTTTTTCAACCAATGAAGCTTTTTCTTTCATTTCGATCTTTGACTTTAGTCTATTAAATCCAAGTATTTTTCCCCTTGTACTTTTCACATAGTAGTTCATCTCTTTTCTCTTCAGGTGTTGATGAAATGTCACTTAAGCTAACATGGATGAGAGGGAAGATGTATTAGAGGTTTAAGGAGAAAAGAAAACATTCTCTCCTTGAATCTATTTAGGAATAGTTTGGAACATTTTGAGAACATATGATGATTGTTGACTATATTTTATATTCATATTTATGTTAATTAAATATTGCTGAATAATGTAAAACCCTTAAACTCAAGGCTATAGAGAAACATCATGTATAACCACATTGTATGTATCTGTGAGTTAACTTGAGGATCGGCTGAACTTGGCTGGCTGCTGTTTGCCAACTGTGCTACCTCCAGGACATTCAATCCTGCATCTGCTCATTTATTAGGTAGCTCTGCTCTAGGAGGGAACCTGACAACTGTCCCCGTGGGGCTCATCTTTCTACTGAGGACCGGTAGACTAGTCCTGGCATGCTCTTCTTCTGGCAGTGGCAGAGCATAAGAGGGAACGTAGACCCAGATGTGGAACCGGACACCATCACTTTGAACTCATTCTATTGCCTGAGTTGGCTGGAGGCCAAACCTAATGGAAGAGAACCCTGCAAAATTACATGAACTAGTGAGGGAAGATTTGTGGCTGATAATGCAACCTACTTCCTGTTTATTTATTTTATCATTATTTAGTTAAACAAGGTGCTCTGTGATGCGGACATGATGGTTATTAATGAAAATGTTTTGGTTTTCATTTTGTATATATCTTCAAACCTCAGCTATGATGAAATTCTAAGATAAATTAATCCCTGACATCTGTTATCCTAAAAAAACAAAGTACATACAGCAATTAGAAGTTCATTTTTTTCCCAATGTACTATGAACTTCATAGAGACAGTGATTTTTTTTTTTAATCTTTCCCTTATTAATTACTGTGGTTTTGCCATCTACTACCTCCTATTCTACTCATGGAGTTTAAAGTTTTGTTTTTTAAATTTTTGAATTAATAATTGAATTAAATATTAATTAAAGACTGACAGGAAAATAATTAACATCAGTCCATGCAAATATAAAATGGATGGGCAAAATGAAGGGCCAAATACAGAAAGTAAAAATGCACATTTCAATATTTGAGTATAATAGATTTAATACCTCCCTTGGTTCAGTTTTCTTTATTATAGCACCAGGTTAAAGAAGATGTATCCTTTTTTTTTTTTTTCCTTTAGATACTTCATTGACTACAATCCTGAAGATGATAGATTTTTTAACATCGATGCCAACACTGGAACCATTAAGACTACCAAGGTTCTTGATAGAGAAGAAACTCCATGGTACAACATCACAGTTGCTGCTTCAGAAAATGGTAAACTTCTTTATTTTATGTACTATAGGGAAGATGTCACTTAAACATGAAGACTTAGGCTGAGATTTTCTCCAGATCAGGGCTTTCATGATTTTTATTTTTTTATGCACCTAGCAGAGTGCACAAAATGTTTTAGACACAATTACTCATTGTCAGATGTGATTAGTAAATCTTATATCTTTTCCTTTACTGTAATCTCTGCATAATGGTAGAAAATTGATATCACAGAATACTTAGTCTGCATCACTCAGTCAAAATATCTAATTCTCTTCTTAATTGGCAGACTTGCTTTGACATGTGCTTATGCCTTACTTAAGTAGAAGAATGCTTCATATACAGTGAAGCAGTTAGGAAAATAAAGAGAAGAAAAGAAAATTTAATATTTTACTTGAATGATTTTATTAATACAACACCTTTCTTCAGGCTTCAATTGACTCTTAGAGATTTTACAGTGAAAGAATAACTCTTGGTATTTCAACAGGCAGGTCTAAGTCATTTTAAACAAATGTACACCACCATACAACTGAGGAAGGCCATTGTTCGATCCTCATCCAGAACATTGCATTGTGCTAAATAACCACATTATAAAAAAAGTAAAAATATCAACAATTATCTTGAAGTTCAAAAAGATGTGTATAAATGTTTTCAAATGAAATTAGAATAAAGCTCTAGGAAAATGGATCTGTTGTCAAGAAAATGAAGTATGTATTTACATGTTGAGAAAGAATCCAAAGGTGCAGACTGCCCCAAGTTTACTATGATACATGAAAAATGAAAGTGAAAGCATTAGTTGATCCATCATGTAGGACTTTTTGTGACCCCATGGACTATAGCCCCCCAGACTCCTCAGTCCAAGGAATTTTCCAAGTAAGAATACTGAAGTGGGATGTCATTCCCTTCTCCAGGGAATCTTCCTGACTCAGGGAATGAAACTGTATCTCCTGAATTGTAGAGAGTCTCCTGCATTTCAGGCAGATTCTTTACGATCTGAGTCACCAGGGAAGCCCAGTATTGTATATATCATGTGTGTGTGTGTGCACTCAGTCATGTCTGACTCTTTGAGACCCCATGAACTGGAGCCTGCCAGGTTCCTCTCCATGGGATTTCCCAGGCAAAAATACTGGACTGGGTTGTCATTTCCTTCTCTGGTGATCTTCCCGACACATGGATCAAACCTGCATCTGTTGCATATCCTGCATTGGCAGGTGGTTTCTTTACCACTAGTGACACCTGGGAAGCCCAACTTACAACGCCTTTTAAAAGATTTCAATATATTCATAAAAGAACCATAAATATTAAAATGTAGGAATACTTCATATTGGAAAATAGTATCCAGTTCAGTTCAGTTGCTCAGTGTGTCCGACTCTTTGCGACCCCATGGACCACAGCAAGGCAGGCCTTCCTGTCCATCACCAGCCCCCGGAGTTTACCCAGACTCGTGTCCATTGAGTCTGTGATGTCATCCAACCATCACATCCTCTGTCGTCCCCTTCTCCTCCCGCCTTCGATCTTTCCCAGCATCAGGGTCTTTTCAAATGTGTCAGCTCTTTGCATCAGGTGGCCAAAGGATTGGAGTTTCTGCTTCAGCATCAGTCCTTCCAATGACTATTCAGGACTGATTTCCTTTAGCATGGACTGGTTGGATCTCCTTGCAGTCCAGAGGACTCTCAAGAATCTTCTCCAACACCACAGTTCAAAAGCATCAATTCTTTGGCGCTCAGCTTTCTTTATAGTCCACCTCTCACTTCCATACATGACCACTGGAAAAACCATAGCCTTGACTAGATGGACCTTTGTTGGCAAAGTAATATCTCTGCTTTTTAATATGCTGTCTAGGTTGGTCATAGCTTTCCCTCCAAGGAGTAAGTGTCTTTTAATTTCATGGTTTCAATCACCATCTGCAGTGATTCTGGAGCCCAAAATTAAAGTCTGCCACTGTTTCCACTGTTTTCCCATCTATTTGCCATGAAGTGATGGGACCAGATGCCATGATCTTAGTTTTCTGAATGTTGAGCTTTAAGCCAACTTTTTCACTCTCCTCTTTCACTTTCATCAAGAGGCTCTTTAATTCTTCTTTGCTTTCTGCCATAAGGGTGGTGTCATCTGTATATCTGAGGTTATTCATATTTCTCCCAACAATCTGGGTTCCAGCTTTTGCTTCCTCCAGCCCAGCATTTCTCATGATGTACTCTGCATATAAGTTAAATAAGCATGGTGACAATATACAGCCTTGACGTAATCCTTATCCTCTTTGGAACCAGTCTGTTGTTCCATGTCCAGTTCTAACTGTTGCTTCCTGACCTGCATACACATTTCTCAAGAGGGTCAGGTGGTCTGGTATTCCCATCTCTTTCATAATTCCCACGGTTTATTGTGATCTGCATGGTCAAAGGCTTTGGCATAGTCAATAAGGCAGAAGTATATGTATTTCTGGAACTCTCTTATATAAAATGAAATTACACTCTCTCTTTCTTATGCCCTCAGAAGATACAAGAAATTAAAAAAAAAAAAACATTCAAGCTTCGTTTAGAAATACTTTACATACCCTATGATTTACCTTTGTATAGTGTATAGTTTAATGACTATTAGTACATTCAGTTATCCATCAACTGTCACAATGGATTTTAGAATACATTGAATACTTCAGAAAGAAATCCTGTGTCCTTATTCATCACTCTCTAATCCCTCTTGCCCATGCCTCAATCCAAGGAGCCACTCCTCTAGTGTCTGTTTTTATAGATGTCTTAGTCTGTTTAGGCTGCTATAACAGTGTATCATAAACCTAGTGCTTTAAAAAGCAAACACTTATTTCTCACAGTTCTGGAGGCTGGAAGTCCAAGATCAAGGGACCAACTGATTTCATGTCTGGTGAGAATACACTTTCTGGTTCATAGATGGCTGTCTTCTAGTGGTGTTCTCACATGGTGCAAGAGCAAGGGATCTCTCTGGGATCTCTTTTATAAGAGATATAATCTCCCTCGTGAGTGTTTCACTCTGAATTTGGGGGAGAAAAATACATTCAGTCTACAGCAATAATTTTTCCTTAATTGACCTCTCATATAAAACAATCATATAACATCTAGTCCTTTGTGACTGGCTTACTTCATGTAGTGTGTTATTTTCAAAGTTCATTTACATTGTAGCATGGATCAGTGTTTCATTCTTCCTTACTGCTAAAATCTTTCCAGTGTTTGAATATACTGTATTTTATGTACCCATTCACCACTTGATAGACATTTGTGTTGTTTCCACTTTTTGCCTAATTTGAAGAATGTTATCATAAGCATTGATATGGATGCTTTTGTATGAATGACTTTTCATTTCTCTTGGGTATATACCTAGGAGTGGGATTGCAGAATCATATAAAACTATGTTTAAATCTTGGATGAATTGCCAGACTGTTTTCCAAAGTGACCACATTTTACATTCACAGCAGCACTATATGAGTGTCCTCATTATTCTATATTGTTACCAATATTTACTATTCCATACTTTTTTGATCATGATCATTCCATTAGGTATGAGGTGATAGCTCATTGTGGTTTATGCACTTTTATAATGTCTTGTATCACAAAACAATAAAGCTGCTCCAGTCTTTTCTATTCTACCTGAGTTTTTCTTGTGTTGCATCTGAAAAATCAACTCAAGTAGTTTCCATTTAGATCGTTTTTTCAATGTAATATTTCTCTTTGAAAATAAGGATTCACTAATTACTTTTAAATGAGTATTATAAATAATACATGAGTGGATTCAATTTGTTATAATTCTGGTTAATTTTCATTTTCAGAATGGCCAGAATAGTTCTAGAATTGCATGTGCTTACTTACCAAGAACAATAAAATAACTGCCACATGATAAAGCCTCATTTAAAATTAGTTTTAAAATAAAGGAATGCATGGGTGGATAAATTGAAGTAGATGCTATGGAGACATTGAAAAGTTTCCAAAAATATTGTATAGTTATTCTTGCAATCAAGCTCCATGTATAGAAGATGGAAGGGGAGAATCCCTGGAGAGAATACTTGCTTGTCAGAAATAATAAGGACTTATTTTAAAATAACATCAAATTCAACTCCAGAGGTATTTTGATCAGAAACTTTACTTTAGTTCAGCTAACTCTCATCTCAACCTAAATAATATTTGCATCAAGACAAAGCTACTTTGTAAATATACATGAGTTCAAATGTATCATGAAAATTATATTATTTGCAATCATTACCAAAGGAAACCAAAGGAAATGTTAATTTTTACTAAAGTAACATCTTAGGTATGTACTTACTTTCCCCCCTTTTTTTTTTTCACTAATTGCTAGTGTTTCATATGGGAAATGAGTTAATACACATCTACTAAGTAAAACAGTACAGTAAATCGTAATATCCTGAATTTTATAGATGGTAATAAAGAAGCCTTAGAGACATCTCAATGAGCATTACTAAAATATAATTTAATCCTAATCATAAACAGGTGTGTAGAAAGAATGAGCCCTAGTTAAGATTTTATAGCCATACTGGGAGACTGTGTTTAGAAAAGTGCACATTCACTTACTGATGGCTTGGCCTAAGTGCATATTAAATAGAGCTGGGAGCTCTTCCACAAATGATTGTTTGTAAGCGTTAACAGAAGCTATGTCATAAAAGTATTTTCTGGTATATTTCATTTTGGATACTTTTTCAACAAGATTTTTTAAAAGGCTATACCTTTTTTTAGTGCATTTTAGGTTTATCAAAATTCAGAGAAACGGACAATGATTTCCTTTGTATCTTCTGGACCTACAGATGCTTAGCTTCCTCCACTATCAATATCCTCCACCAGAGTGATGCATTTGTTACAACAGATGAGCCTGCATTGACGCATCATAATCAACCAATGTCTATAGTTTGTTGTAGGGTTAGCTCTTATTATTCTATGGTTTTGGACAAATGCATAATGCATATACCCACTGATGTAATATCATATAGAGTATTTTGACTGCACTAAAGTGTTCTGTGCTCCATCTGTTCA